CCAAGAGGCAGGCCGGGCCCGACACCCCCTACTTGACCCCTTCGTCGTCGTTTGGCGGGGGATCGACGTCGGGTCGTGGTGCGTTTGCGTTTGCGTCGAGGGGCCATCCCACGTCGACATTGACCACACATGGTTTTGGGGACCGTCGAAGGCAGGCTCCTGGTTTTATAGCTTCACGGGCGTCGTCCCCGTCCACGGGCTCGGCCACGGCCCCGGCCACGGCCTCGGCGTGGTGGGGGTGGACCGGACGTTCGCGTCGACGTGCGTCGTACCGACGGTCGGCCTCCCTCTTCATACACGGTGGTCACCGTATTGGTATGCGTGATATTGCGAATGCGTCTCCCTCGCGCTCGTTCTTGCGCATCTTCATTCAGCAAATCCAACCGTCGCCTTAAGCCTCGTCCTCGATCGTCATCATCATCTTCATCCTCGTCCTCAGACGGTGGGGAAGAATCGGGGGATGGTGGAGAGGGCACGCGGGGACGTCGTCGCGGTTGTTTGGCGGCCACTGTAGGACGGCCCGTCGGGGTCGTCACCGTGGACGTGGTGGTCCTGGTGCCGGCTCCAGCGCTACGTCGGGACGTAGAGGGGCGGGAGGGAGCCGTGGTGGTCGTAGCGGTGGTGACAGGGCGTGGTCTGGGCCGTCTAGAGCTGCTGGTGGTGGTGGTAGTGGCTGTGGGACGTGTGCGGGTGGACGTGGTGGGACGGGTTGGGGTGGCGGTGGTGGTAGGAGCGGTGGTGATTGTGGGTGGTGGTGGAGGTGGCGGTGCTGTGGTGGTGGTGGCCGGGGCCGTGCCTGTGCCTGCCACGGGGGGTAACGTAAAGGCGTTCAGGGCATCGTCCACATTGACCGGGTAGGTCAATTGAAAATCCTCAATTTCTTGATCCAATTGGGCTCGATCCACGGGTTGGGTCAATTCAGCCACCATGTCTGTCATGCTACTAAGGTCCCGAAGTACCGAGGGCGAGGTCGGGGACCCCACCCCGGCAGGCGAGAAGGTCGGCGTGTCCATGCGCTCTGATAAGTCAGTACGTTGTCCGCCTTCTCTTTGCCGACGGACCCGGGCGAGTTCTCGTTGCAGTTCGTTTTCGAACGGCAGGGACATCCACGGGCAGGGTATGGACTTGCGCCTTGCTGTGCCTTTGACGGCATTGTCTTGGACACTGGTGTAGACGGCTTCCAAAATATCGTCGGTACAGAGGCGGAGCGTACTGAGATCAAGAGCTGCATCAGAAACGAGGCTGAACAAATGGGCGGGGTTTTGAACAGTGACGGTGGTGGGTTTGTTGATCCGCTCACCAAACTTACCCCAGAAACTGTTCAACATGAGTTTGGCGGTGGCTTTGCGACCAGGGTTTTTGGCAATGCTGGCAATGTCCAATCGGATCCCCTCCCGTTCCTGGTAGCGATGAATGTAGTCGCGTTTTTGTTCGAGGGTCTGGCACCAACTGGGCCACCCCGCCGATTCTTGTTTGAGTTTGAGCCATGTGTTCACGTAATCAGCGAAAAGACCTGTTTGGCGTTGCTCGGGGGGAAAATGCCAGACTTCGTGGATCTTGATGAGAGTGTACCCCTTTTCCACCGCTTTGACCAATTCGGGCGTACACCAGGTCCCACGTAGTGTACGATCTGCATCCGAATGAGGGCAATACTGGGTTCGGGTCAACATGGGTTGGGCTTGTTCCTCTTGGACACAGGCACAGCAAAGAGGAAACGTGAGTTTTTGGCCACAGCGTACAGGCAAGACCGGGTGGAATAGACCAGCGGGAGGCAGAATATCCACCGTCGCCACACCAAAATAGGATGCCAAGGACTGGTCGACAGGTTGGGTGATGATCTTGGGATGACCGATAGGGTAAGGGCAGTTCTTATTCACCCATGGGTACAAAGAGGTCACATCCACATAACGTATTTCCTCCCCCTCTTCAGCCACAGCATGCAAGGCCACTGCACCAGTGCGACCTCCAAAAAAGGCGTCACGGGGTTTCAAGGGTGCAGCCAAATCAAATGACGTCAAGAAACGTTGGACAGCTTCATCAGTGTCCACCAGTCGGTCCCAGTCACACTCCCACATTTCGATCACGGTATAACCAGCTCGGAGCAGGGCCATGCGTTTGGAGAGCGTGGCCTGATACAGTTCCTCCACGGTTCGATCTGGTGTGGCATAATGTTTGGCGTCTCTACTGGGATAACAGGTGGGACAGCCATGGTAGAGACACCCATGGAACTCGTAGACAGTGCGGGTCAGAGGATCATAGCCATCGACAAAATAACTGTTCACGAGGGTCCGGACAAACTGCTCACCCCCATTCCGGACATGACGAATGCGATCGGCACTAGCCCCCTCTTTAGGAATAAGGTCTTCTTGGTAGTACAACCATTGTAGGGCCTTGAGCGATTGATTGACTTGAGCCCCTCGCCACCCCTGGAGTGGTTCGACAGCGATCGTGTCGGGGGTCAAATGGTGCTTGCGCCAATAGAGATTACAGGCACTGGCGATGGTGATACATTTGGCCATAGGATTGAAACCAGCCTGTCGTTCAAATTCTTGTTGAAAGGCTTCACACCCCGCTTTCAACAACGCCACATCCGACTTGCAATACTCAATCATCTCTTGACGAAAATCAAAACGCACGTTACGACGGACTTGCTCCGCATGCCAACGCGTCAGTTCGTCTTTCTTTTTGGCCATCATGCCCTCAGGATCGTAAAATTCCAAATCGGGGATCCGACCCACGTACTGTTGATGATC